ATTCCATGGAGATGTCCCCAAAAAGCAGGACAGACCCCGAACCCACAGAAATTCCCTTCAAAAAGCAGGACAGACCCCAATCCGATGGACGTGCTTCCCAAAAACCTATGGAGCAGCTCCCAAAATTCAGGACAGACCCCAAACCCATGGAGATTCTCCCTAAAAGCAGAATAGGACCCAATCCCAGGGAAATTCTCCCCAAAAATCAGGACAGATCCTAAAACCCATGGAGATGTTCCCCAGAAAAGGAGGACAGACCCCTCATCCATGGAGATGCTCCTCAAAATCCCATGGAAATGCTCCCCAAAAAGCAGGAGAGGCCCCGATCCCATGGAGGTGATTGGGATGGGAATCCCACATGGATGCAGCTGGAAGGGTTTGGGAATGATGTGGGAATGGGATTGGGACACTCCTGGGGACACCGGGACACTGGGGACACTCCTGGGGACACCTGGGGACACTGCTAGGAGCACCCAGGACCTCCTGGGGACACTCTTGGGAGCAACCAAAATCCACTGGGGACACTGCTGGGAACACCCAGGATCTGATGGGGACACTCAGAATCCCCTGGGGACATTTGGGATCACCTGGGAACCACCTGGATCTGCTGGGGACATTGCCAGGATCTCCTGGGGACATTGCCAGGATCTCCTGGGGACACTCAGAATAACCTGGGGACATTTGGGATCACCTGGGGACACTGCCAGGGACACCCCGGATCTGCTGGGGACATTGGCAGGATCTCCTGGGGACACCCAGAATCTTCTGGGGACACTTGGGATCTCCTGGGGACACTGCTGGGGACACTTGGGATCATCCTGGGGATCTGCTGGGGACATTCCTGGGACACTCCTGGATTCCCCGCTCCTGGAAAAGGAGAACTCCTTGAATTCATTAACTCATTAATCCATTAATTACTGTTTTTTCCAGCGCCCATCCCGCGGCTCCCGAGCTCCTCCTCCCCTCTTCGCCTTTCCCGGGACCCCGCGCCCGTCCCGGCTTCTCCCGGCGCAGAAAAACTCCGCAAAAATGCGGAAGTCCCGCAGAAATATTCTCCTTTCAATCCGCGTTTTTCAAGGTGGATTTCTCTCCCTTTAAAGGGAGATTCCTGGGATAATCGCTTGGGAAAATAACGCTCGTCACGGCGGGATCTCCCACGGAAACCCTTCCCACATCCATCACTGAACTGGAACGAGCAGGAACCAACTTCATTCAAGGATTCTGGGCTTGGTTTGGTTTTGATTTTTCCGTCCATGTGCTGAAAATCGGGATCGAATCCTTCGGGTTTTCCTCCTGAGCAGCCTCTGAGAGATTTTCCAGGGAAATTTCTCCTTCCTGGGTGCGCCCCGCTGCAGAAATGGGATGACATACCTAGAAAAATAATAAAAATTTAAAAATAAGAAAAGGACTTTTAGGGAGAATCCTAATTAATAATTTTAAGGGTTTTTTGAGGAGAATTGCAATAAGTAAAATCGCTGATTGGGGAGATTTTCCAGACGGGTTTAAGCAAGCTGAGAGCGTCTTTTCCATGGAGAAAATGGGATGTGGAGCCCTTTTATCCCAAAAATCCGCCTTTCCAAGCGCGCATCCGAGTGGGAAACCCTCCCGCGAGGGATGCGGGGGATAACGGGATGCTCCTAAAAAAACCCCAAATAATCCCAGGCCGATGGCAGCGCGCGCTCCCGCGGGAATCGCGGCATTTATCGAGCAGGAACACACCTTAGGAAACCATGGAGATGCGCCGGGAAGGTGCGGAGCGCAATTCCCGCCGGGAAAGCTCCGGGAATTCCGCATCCCGATGGATGCCGCCTCTAATCCAGAGAAGCGGCCTCGGCTTTTGTCCGCGAGGCAGAGCCGGGAGAAGATGGGAAAACTGCAAAAAAAAAGAAAAAAAAATTCAAATTTAATCCAAAAAAAGGATTTGGCGCAGGTGACCCCCCCTGGAGCGGATTTTTGGGGTGATGGGTGGGGACAGGGGTGTCCCCACCCCCAGTGGAGACAGTCCCTGCCACCCACGGCGGGATCTCCCACGGAAACCCTTCCCACATCCATCACTGAACTGGAATGAGCAGGAACCAACTTCATTCAAGGATTCTGGGCTTGGTTTGGTTTTGATTTTTCCGTCCATGTGCTGAAAATCGGGATCGAATCCTTCGGGTTTTCCTCCTGAGCAGCCTCTGAGAGATTTTCCAGGGAAATTTCTCCTTCCTGGGTGCGCCCCGCTGCAGAAATGGGATGACATACCTAGAAAAATAATAAAAATTTAAAAATAAGAAAAGGACTTTTAGGGAGAATCCTAATTAATAATTTTAAGGTTTTTTTGAGGAGAATTGCAATAAGTAAAATCGCTGATTGGGGAGATTTTCCAGACGGGTTTAATCAACCTGAGAGCGTCTTTTCCATGGAGAAAATGGGATGTGGAGCCCTTTTATCCCAAAAATCCGCCTTTCCAAGCGCGCATCCGAGTGGGAAACCCTCCCGCGAGGGATGCGGGGGATAACGGGATGCTCCTAAAAAAACCCCAAATAATCCCAGGCCGATGGCAGCGCGCGCTCCCGCGGGAATCGCGGCATTTATCGAGCAGGAACACACCTTAGGAAACCATGGAGATGCGCCGGGAAGGTGCGGAGCGCAATTCCCGCCGGGAAAGCTCCGGGAATTCCGCATCCCGATGGATGCCGCCTCTAATCCAGAGAAGCGGCCTCGGCTTTTGTCCGCGAGGCAGAGCCGGGAGAAGATGGGAAAACTGCAAAAAAAAAAAAAGAAAAAAAATTCAAATTTAATCCCAAAAAAAGGATTTGGCGCAGGTGACCCCCCCTGGAGCGGATTTTTGGGGTGATGGGTGGGGACAGGGGTGTCCCCACCCCCAGTGGAGACAGTCCCTGCCACCCCCTGACCCCAACCCCAGACAGACCCCGGGGTGCGGCCGCAGCCTGACCCCCCTCAAAATTATAATGACAATTAATAATAATAATAATAATAATAATAATAATAATAATAATAATAATAATAATAATAATAAATAATATAGGAGCTCTTTGCGTGCCCGGAGTTTCAGGACAAAGTGAATTTTTTCCTATTTTTTTTCTCTTTTTTTTTGCCTGAAAGTGCCGAATCTTCCCCCAATTCCAGCAGAGCGGGGCGGGGGAAGGAGGGAAAACAAACGCGGCGTTTGAAGTGCGGGATTTTCCTGCCGGCGAGGTGACCCCGGAGCGGCGGGGAAGGAGGGCTCGGGCTCGGCTCCCGGGGTTTCACCTTCCCCCAGCGCCGGGAGAGCAGAAATATTTAATTTTCAACTTTATTCCCAGGCTCCTTCCCCCCCATCCCGGCAAATACTATAATTACGGCGGCAGGAATGCGGCGGAGACGGGGCCGGGGCTTTTCCCCCGGAAAACTCCGGGAATTGGCGTTTTTTGGGAAGAAGCGAGATTTATTTTCGTTCGCCAAAGCCGCGCCTGAGCCCAGCTCAGAGTTCGGGCGCAACTTGACACCTCGGGAAGGATTTTAAAAATCGCTTTTCTCCCTCCTCACTCTGCCCCGGTTTTTTTAATTTCTGTTGGAGGGGATTGGGGCGGAAAGGCAGAAACGCCAAAGCGCGCAGCTTTAGGCGCGGCTTAGGCCGAGCTGAGGCTGAAGTTGGGCTCCAGGCCGGGTTTAAGCCCAAAGCGAAGGCGGGGGCGGGCCGGGCCGGGCTTGGGGGGTTTTGGGGAGGGGGCGGCGGGCCCGGGTCCCTTCCCCAGCTGCGAACAAAAGGCGGCGGCGGCGCCGGCGTCACGTCCCGCTGCGCGCCCGTCCCCGCGGCCCCGCGGCTTTTGGGGCGAAATCGGGAATTCTCACCGGGACAGGGCCGGCCCGAGCCCGCCCCGTCATTAACGCCGCTGTTAATTAATGAGGGCGGTACCTGGGCTGGGCAAGGTGAGGGGGCGCTGGGCCGGTCCCAAAGGCGGCCCCACAGAGAGGGGGGGTCGGGTGAGCCTTTCACACCCCCCAGGGAGGGACGGGAAAAGGGGGAAAAGCGGCTCCAAACCCCGCGGGGGGAGCGGGACGAGGGGTGAGGAGCAACTTATTTATTTATTTATTTATTTATTTATTTTATCTCATTTATTTCTTATAATTTCATTTATTTCTTATAATTTCATTTATTTCTTATTAATTTGGGGCTTTTTTTAATTTCTCACAATACTTTAAAATATTTTCTAATTTTTAATTTTTTATTTAAACTTATTTTAATTGTTATTTGCTTTAATTTTTCTTCATTTTCATTGCCATCCACTTTGATTTTCTTTTATTTTTAAGTTTTTTTTATAATTTTTATCAATTCTTTTTTATCTCTTTATTTTTTTAAAATTTGTTTTAAAAAACTTTATTCCATTTTTCAATCCACTCCGCAATTCCCCCACCCCGAGCCGGGCTCAGCCCATGCTCCGCCCGCCTTTCCCCTCCTGGAATCCGCTTAGAGGGAAAAAAATCCCTAAAAAATCCCAAAAAACCCCACCAAAAACCCCCAAACACCCACAACCCCGCAATTCCTGATTTATCCCTGCTTTGTTTCCCCCCAAATCTTTCCCAGCCGCTCGAGGGACACCCCAGCTGTCCGTGAGGAGCCCGAGAATGACCAAAAACATCCCCAAAAAACCCCTCTGGGAAGGAGCGCGGGGCTCCTCTCCCATTGGCGCCGGGGCCGGGCGCGGATCCCCCTTCCCATAAAAGAAAGGAGCCGGAGCCTATCAGAGCCTGCCCGTCCTTCCCACCGCCCCAACTTCCCCGCCGGAGCAACTTCCAGCCCCCTCCTCCTCCTCATCCTCCTCCTCCTCATCCTCCTCCTCCTCCAGCGCTGCCACAGCCGCGCCGCGAGGAGGAAGAACCGCAGCGCACCGAGCGAATCCGGGGGGCCGCGGCTCCCCCCGCTCTGCCCCCCGAGCCAGCCCCGAGCCAGCCCTAAACCAGCCCCGAGCCAGCCCTAAACCAGCCCTAAACCAGCCCCAAACCAGCCCCGAGCCAGCCCCAAGCCCAGCCCAGCTCCCAGGCAACTTTGGCTGTGCCTGCTCTTCCCGGGTGACATTCCAGCGGAGCGGCCGCTCGGGACACAGCCCCCAAACTTTCCCGGGAATTTCTGGTGGGTGATCCCCCCTCTATCCCCACCCCTTCCATCCCCAGCCTTGCAGCATTTTGATTTTTGTGCTTATTTTCTGAAGCGTTCTCGGGTTTTTTGTTTTGTTTTTTTTGGTTGTTTTTTTTTTTTTCCGCGCTCGGAGCCCAGATTTCTCCCTTGTTTTGCAGCCGCTGGAAGGGCTGGGAAGGTCGGAGGAGGCGGCCCCGCAGCCCCCGGTCGTGCCCGGTGTCCCCCCCAGCCCCGGTTCGCAGCGGAGCCCCTCGGCCGCGGCCGCCCCCCGACCATGGCAGCGCTGCCCGGGACGGTGCCGCGGATGATGCGCCCGGCGCCGGGGCAGAACTACCCCCGCACCGGCTTCCCGCTGGAAGGTAGGTCTGGAAAACCTGGAAAAGCGCTCTGGGGAGGGGGATAGGGCTGGAAAAACGCCTCTCCATCCCTCTGGAATAACCTGGGGGGGCTCTTAGCTGTGGAAAAGTGCTGCTCCTTCTCGCTGGAATCACCCGGGGAGGGCCTTGGGGTCTGGAAAAGCGCTGCTCCATCCCTCTGGAATAACCTGGGGGGCTCTTGGGGTCTGGAAAAGCCCCTCTCCATCCCTAAAAGCGCCGCTCCATCCCTCTGGAATCACCCGCGGGGCCCTTGGGGCAGGGGTGCGGCTGAGCTCCGCTCCTGGGGGGTTCCCGAAATTCTCCCAACTTCTCACCCCGTACCCAGCCCCTTCCCGCCGCGCTCCCCGCGAATTCCCGGGATTTGCTTCGCTGTTTTCCCGTGTTTCGAGTATTCTCGGCCATCCCGCAGGGTTTTTGGGGCAGCTTCTCCCGCTTTGGGGTTTTTTTTGGGGGGGGTTGGGTTTTTTCTAGCGGGTTGGTTTTTTTACATCCCGACAATTTCACCTCCGCGTCAAAGCGGGGGGAAAACAACCAAACTGATGGGATTTAACTTTTCGGAGGGGAAAATAGGAATAAAAACCTTGATCCGGGGAGCAGCGGGAAGCCGGGATGATGTCCTTGGCCGGGGCTGGCGAAGCGGGGACTCGGGAGCTGTCACCTCGCCGAGTGTCACCCATCCTCCCTCCGCCGTGCCTTTGTCACGCGGGGAAAAAAAAAAAAAAGGGAAATTTTTATCCGGGACCCCTCTGGCCGCATTTATTAAAAGCGGAGAAAATTTCATCCCGCCCGTGCTCAAGTGGCGAATGGCAAACCCGCGGAAAACCACGCAGGCTGCAAAACACACAGGGCGCGGGGATTTGCTGAAGTGCTTTTCTGTAGCAAATGAAGTAAAACAGACGGCAAGGGAAAGGATCAAAGGATTACAACAATATTTGCACAACATGACTGGGAATAATGAAAGGAGAGAGCGGCCGGCGCTTTTAGCGGCTCTTGAATGTAAAATTGGCCACTCGAGTGTTATCTGTCGATAATGATACATCCAGGGAGCGCCGGCCAAAGTGACTCGGAATTAGCGGTGCATGATTCTCGCTAAATCGCCAGGCAATTTCTGGAATCGACTTTTCTTTGTAGCGAGAGAGGGGAGGGAAAAAAAAATTATATCTAAAAAAAAATAAGAAATAAAAATCCGCCCCCCTCGCCTCGCCTGGCGCTCGCCCCCTCCAGCCTCGCGCAAATTACCCAGCTGAGTTCTGCCCCCTCCCGTCCTGCCTCCCCTCCTTTTCGCTTTAATTTCCAGCCTGTGAAATCGTATTAATCTGCGAGATCTGCGGCGCGAGGTGTTCGATAAATTGGGGAGGGGGCGAAGGAGCCGCCGCTGCCCCCGCGCCCGCAGAGGCGGCGGCGAAGCGGCCGCGGGGTAAAATCCCCCCCAAAGCCACCAAAAAAAACCCCAAAACCACCAAAAAAAAGCTCCCCTAGGGTGTTTCAGAGGTGATTTGCAAAAGTTTGTTTGAAAGCGGAGCTCCGTAAATCGAGGAGAGGTTTTTTGGGGGAAGAAAGGAGAAGTTTTGGGAGCGTTTTGTTGTGCGGGTTTGGCTCTCCTCGCGTTTGAAACGCCGGGAATGGTTTCAAACCGAGCTGTGAAACCCCAAATCCGGACAAATTTCCAGGGATGGACACACGGGGATTTCTCGGGGATGGGCGCGCGGCTCGGGGGGGATTTTTATTTTCCCACTTTCCATGGGAAATTCTCACGCGTGGTGCCGGGATAAACAAAAACACCGGGATAAACAAACACCGGGATAAATACGGGATAAACAAACACGGGATAGACACCGGGATAGACACCGGGATAAGCACGGAGCGCAGGGCACGGGCGAGACTGTCTCCCTTCTTTCAAACCCCCAAACCCCGGGAGAGAAGCGGGAGATGCGGGGAAGGACACGCCGGATTTTTCCCCCCCTAATTTAACTTTCCCCCGTTTTTTTGGGTCGGGTTTTCTCCCCCGCGTCCCTCGCAGTGTCCACCCCGCTGGGCCAGGGCAGGGTGAACCAGCTCGGAGGGGTTTTCATCAACGGGCGCCCGCTGCCCAACCACATCCGCCACAAGATCGTGGAGATGGCGCACCACGGCATCCGGCCCTGCGTGATCTCCCGGCAGCTGCGCGTCTCCCACGGCTGCGTCTCCAAAATCCTCTGCCGCTACCAGGAGACCGGATCCATCCGGCCCGGGGCCATCGGCGGCAGCAAGCCCAGGGTGAGTGCGCTGCGGGCACCGCGCCCCGAAATTCCGCCTTCTTTTGAGGGGCAGCGAGAGTTTTCCCAGCGGTTTTGGTTGTTTGGTTTGGTTTTGGGGTTTTTTTTAGGGGGGAAAGGGTTTTGATAAAGTTGCGGTTTTGGGTTTCTGGTGGGGAGAAAGAGGGGCCCGAGCTGGAGGTGGTGAATGCATTAAAGAGGTTTCTTTTTTCTTTTTTGTGGCTTCCACGTGCAACAAGTGGCGCTCGTTGGAGCGATCCCGGCGGGGTGTGGGGAGCGGGGAATTCGGGATTCTTTGGGAATAGGAAACCCCATAAACACCCTAAAAAGTGTCCCCTGCACCGCCTCCCCGGAGCTCAGGGTAATCCCACCCTGCGGGCTCTCTCGACTCTCAGAGACCCCGTTTTTAGGATTTGGGGGAGCAGGGCCTTTTCCCAGCTTTATTTCCCTCCTTTCCCTGCTCCCAATCCCCATTTTCCACCCCAAACCTCGCAGCCCGGCCGGGCAGGGCTGAGCTGCGCTGCTTCTTTTGAATTAAAAGCGCTTTTCCCCTGCTCTCCCTCCCTTCCCCCCCGCCCGGCCGCCCCGCGGGGACACCCCGGCGCCCCTTGGGCACAAAAGCAGGTCGCGACTCCCGACGTGGAGAAGAAAATCGAGGAATACAAGCGGGAGAACCCTGGGATGTTCAGCTGGGAGATCCGGGACCGGCTGCTCAAGGACGGCCACTGCGACCGCAGCACGGTGCCCTCAGGTGAGAAGGCAGCTTGGCCACACTCCCCGGCCCCGCGGGGGAAGGGTTATCCCGAGGGAAAGGTTTTCCAGAGCATCCAAACCCCCTCCTGCCTCTGCCTGGATGGAGCGGGGACAATCACCCCGAGCAAAGCCCGGGACTGGGGGGGTTTGTGCCCCGGCTGCTGCAAAACCGAGCCCAAACCAAGCCCTTATCCCAAATTTTTCCGGCTCCCTGGAAAGCCGGGGGGATGCTGGGGCAGGGGGAGACCCCCAGAGGTGGCCCCCAAATCCAGGGGGAAAGGGGAGCTGTGCCGTGGGGGCTGCCCAGCAACGTCCCCATGGGGCAGAGATCCCGAGGAGTCCGGGAATCCAGGAGATCCTGAGATCCAGGAGATCCCAAGACATCCAGGGATCCATGAGATCTATGGATCCACGGGATCCTGAGATCCAGACATCCAGAGATCCCGAGAGATCTGGAGATCCCCGAAGTCCAGAGACACATGAGATCCCGAGGGATCCTTTAGAGCCATGAGGTCCTGAGCTCCATTAGACCCAGGGATCCATGAGATCCTGAGATGCCGAGATCCATGGGCAGCGAGGCTGCACCCCAAAGTTCGGCCTGCGGGGACGTGTTTGGGGCGCGGGGGCTCTGCGGGGGCCGTGAGGTCCCGCCGGGTTTTGGGGCCGCTCTGTAGGACCAGAACAGGCCCGGAGCTCCATCCCGGCCTGGGAACTGGGGGGAATTCTGGAATTGTGAGGTGACAGAGCGTGTGGTGACCTGGGCATGGCCCACCCCGGGACTTTGGGACATGCCGGTGCCGCTGGGGCGGGCGGCCAGCGGATCCCAGTTTGGGAGCTGGGGTGGCTCGGCAGGTGCATCCCCACGGGAAGAGCGGCACTCCCCGCTCCTCGCAGGCAGCTTATACTCGCCTTTCTGCCTTTGACTGTCCGAGGTTTAGTGAGTTCGATTAGCCGCGTGCTCCGCATCAAGTTCGGCAAGAAGGAGGAGGACGAGGACTGCGACAAGAAGGAGGAGGACGGCGACAAGAAGGCCAAGCACAGCATCGACGGCATCCTGGGCGACAAAGGTACCGCGCGTCCCCGCGCCGCGCCGGGGGGGACAGCGGGGACACGGCCCTGCCCCCGGGGGTGGCTCCAGAGCCGCCGAGTTGGGCTCTTCCCAAAAAACCCCTGCGGGGAGCGGGGCTGCCAGGAGGAGGAAGAGCTGTCGGTGCTTTGCTCGGGATCAATTATCCATAAAAAGGGCCGGGAATGGCCGGAGGGGGGGAGAGGCACCTCGGAGGCCGTAAATGAATTTGTTAAACAGATTTCGCCTAAGTGGTCCCCTGGAACCGGGGCTGACAGGTGACCGATGGCGCCGATCAATATCAATTAGGGACGGGAGCCGCCGGCTCCGGGGGGACACGGGGGGGGCCCCGCAGCGGCGCCGCACCCCCCGATTATCCTGGGAAAAATTACCCAGGGAAAACCATCCAGGGAAATGATCCAGGGAAAGCGATCCAGGGAAAAGCATCCAGGGAAAATGATCCAGGGAAAGCGATGCAGGGAAATCCCTCCCGGCGCAGGCGGGGGAAGGCTCCGAGCCAGGCCGGTGGCGGGGCTCTGTTGTCACCTCCCGAGCGCGGCTCTTGCTCCCGCTGGCAGGAAAATTCCAACTTTTCCCAGCTGGGAATGCGGGGCTGGGGGTGGGAACTGCAGCGCGGGCAGCGCCGTGGTTCTAAAAAAAAAAAAAAAAAGCAAAGAAAAGGTGGAATTTTGGGGGAGCATCCGTGAGATCCGTCAGGGATAAACGGGGAGTTGGAGCAGCTCGGTTCGAGCACAAAACGAGCGCCTTTTTGGGGGGGAAACGGCGATTTTTGGGGAAAACGGTGATTTTGGGAGTCTCGAGCAGAGGGGAGTTGGGATTTTTCGGTTTTCTCCCGAATTGGTGCCAAGCGAGCACGGGCTGGGCTTGGGCCGGAGCTGGGATTTTGGGGGGATTTGTGGCATCGCCGCTCTCGGGGTGAGCGGGATTCTCCCCCAGCCCCCAATTTCCCCCAGTTTGGGACACGTGAGGGGAATTTTGGGGTAGAAAAGGTTTCCCCGAGCCCCCATCACGGGAGTTGGAAATGAAGGTGACAAAAGGGATTTTGTTTTATTTTTTTCTTTAAGGATCCGATCCTTTTTTTTTTTTCCCCTTTTCCCAACCTTGAAGATGAACTTCACTTACAAAGACCTTGGGGTCTATTGAAGCTTTATAAGGAAAAGATTCCTGACCACAAAAGCAAACAGCGGAGGAAAAAAAAAAAAAAAAGAAAAAAGGAAAAAAAAAAGAAAGGGGGGGAAAAGGGGGAAAAACCCGAGGCTGCCTCAAAAATGGAGTAAAGGGATGGGGGAGGGAGGGCGCGTCCATTCTCATTCAAAATTCCGCGAGGAGGAGAAAAACTTTTGGACAAAGGGCCGAGGACGGGAAGAAAGGGAGATAAATTATTCAAAACTCCCTGCTGTTAGATAGTTTTGTAATATTATCGGAGCGGCTGCTGCAGAAAGGCAGAGCCGTTGGACGCTGCAAAATGTTGCTGTGATTTGGGAGAGGGGCGATGCTCATTTGCAAATCGGGGCCATTGTGTCCGCCAGAAGCTCCCCCCGCTCACTTTCGGAGTGTTTTTAATTTTATTAGAGGGGGGAAAGGAGGTTTGGGGAGGGGGGGTTAAGTTGTGTTTTCAGCCAGGCTCGCCTCTCGGGAAAAATATCTTTATTTTTGAAAGCGCTGGTTGAGTTTGTTTTCCCCCCGTCCTCGCGTTTTCGCCGTCGCCACCCCCAAAGGAACAAATGAAAAAAAAAAATTTAAAAAAAAATAAGAATGAAGGAGCGGGGAGCTTTTTATCCCTGATTAGCACGCAAGAAGTGCGTGTCAAGAGGCAAAACAAAACGCTCCCTTCTGCCTTCATGGGTGAGGCCGCGGACAAATCAAACACGAGCCCCCGTTCCTGGATGAAAGGGGGCTAATTTGGGCAAATTCCCGCGGCCGGAGCCTGTGGAGCGCCGCGCTCCCTCCGAGCGCGCAGGATGCCCCGGCCCCGCGGAGAAATCCCAATTTCTGCGCAATTCCCGGGTTTTTGTCCTCGCGCCGAGGAGAAATCCCCCCTAAAAACCGCCTGAATTCGGGTTGTTTTTTTGGAGTCCTGCGCATCTCCAAAAGGAGCGTCCGAAATTCCGAATTTGCCGCTGTCCCGGCGGATTTTAACGCCTGGGAAAGTTTTAATGGCCCCAATTAAGATAATTGATGAGCCCGCTCGTAAAGCAGTGGCGGGCGGCGGCTGCGCGCTGGGAAATTTCTGCTGGGGAAAAAAACCGCATTTCTGCTCGAAAAAACCGCAATTTCTGCCCGAAAAAACCTCAATTTCTGCCCGAAAACCCCGCACTTTCTGCCGGGAAACACGGCGATTTTACACCCCGCAATTCAAATCTCCTCAGAGCTGTTTTCCCTCCACCCCGCTCTCATTTCCAGGTGGCTCCACCAAAACCAACCCAACCTCGCACGGCTTGAGGGAGGGGGGGGAATTTTTCTCAATTTCTGCGCCCAACGCGACTTCTCCCTCCGAGAGCTGCGGGGGGAAAGGGGCGAAAAAAACTTTGCTTTTGCTTTTTTTTTTATTTTTAATCTTTTTTTTTTTTTTTCCGCCGCTGCCAAGCGCTCCGTGGCGGGTTCTCCTCGCGGGGAGCCGGGGGAAGACAGCCCTAAATGCTCTCTCTTTTTAAGTGGGAAAGAAAGCTTCCACCCTGCGCCTGTTTCTTTCTATCGTCTGCTTGGCATTTAATAATGTTAAGACTTATTAGAGCTGGTAATGAAAACTGTGGCTGTTGAATAGGGAGCTGTGTTGGAGAAGGGTGTAATAGCTCCAAGGCATGCTAAGAAATGTATTTATCCCCAATCAGTACTCACTCTCTGAGTTCCCAGCACAAACGTTAAGTTGAAGGGTTTTAAGGCAGATTAAATTGAGCCTTTATTTCTTTGCACTTTCATCTTTAAACGGCTCACTCCAGCTAGCCCTGGGCGGATATTCATGAGGCTTCACTTTGGGTTTTTTTATTTTTTTAATATATGTTTATTTTATATTTATATATATATATCTCCTTGTTAAGAGCCAGTTGTTGTTGTTGCTATTTATTATGATTATAATTGTAATTATCATTTGGGGTCGTTGTTATTTATCAGGGAGGGGATGCGCCCCTCTCTCCCTCGCTGGGGGGGCAGAGGGGGGAATTTGGGCACCCCCAAATTTCGGGGGTGGAGGGAATTAATTGAGACCAGACCCGGGGGGTCTCTGGTGTGTCCCCCACCCTGGGCCTGTCCCCCCATCCCCGGCGTGTCCCCCCGGCAGCAGCGGGGCCCGGCGGCGCTGCCCCCCCGAGCCCCGCGGGGTGCGGGGGGTGCTCGCAGGGACCCCCGGCTTCTGTTTTGGGGGTGAAAATGCGGATTTTTAAGGGAATCTTTCCCTCCCCTTCGCTCTGTGCCCCCCAAGTTTGTGCCCTAGGCCGATTTTGGGGGAACAGCAGGATCGGGGTTCCGATTTTGGGGGAAAAGCGTCATCAAGGTTCTGATGTTGGGGGAAAAGCGGGGTTGGGGCCCCGATGTTGGGGGAAAAGCGGGATTTGGGCTCCGATTTTTGGGGAAAAGCGGAATTGGGGCCCCGATTTTGGGGGAAAAGCGTCATCAAGGTTCTGACTTTGGGGGAAAAGCGGGATGGGGGCTCCGATGTTGGGGGAAAAGCGGGATTGGGGCCCCGATGTTGGGGGAAAAGCGGAATTGGGGCCCCGATTTTGGGGGAACAGCAGGAGAGGGGCAGGATCGGGGTTCCGGTTTTGGGGGAACAGCGGGATCGAGGTTCTGATTTTGGGGGAAAAGCGGGATTGGGGCTCTGATTTTGGGGGAAAGGTGGGATAGGGGTTCAGATTTGGGGGGGGAAAGCGGGATTTGGGCTCCGTTTTGGGGGGCGCAGCGGCGGGCTCGGGGCTCCCCGGGGCTGGGGACACTGCGGGAGGGGGACAGGGACAATTCCAGCCGGGAGCTGCCAGCGCCGCTCCCGCCGGCTTTTTGGGGAGCCGCAGCCAGCGGGGGGGTTCGGAGGGTCCCGCCCGATTTGGGGGAGCTCGGGAGGAGCAGAAAGGGACGGGGGCACCCCCGGAGCTGCGCCGGGGCTTTGTTCCCCAGCCGGGGAGGGGAGCGCGGCTGCGGGGCCGATTTATCGGCGAACAATCGGCGCGGGTTTAAAAACCAACACGCGGCTCCTCGGTAAATGTGTGTTTAGAGGCGCGGGGGGGGCCGCGAGCAGACACTTCATCAAATCAAGGGATTACCAAAGGTTGGCAATCTAATCAAACAGAGCCCAGGCGGGATTTGTGAGTGTTGCGAGCGGGATCAGCTCTAATAATGGGGGGCAGGAGAAGAGATAGGGAGGTGTCAAGCAATTCATTGGCTTTAGGCTGAGTTATTCTGTGCATATTTCAGGCCGAGAGGAGAGGGAAGAGAGGGGAAGAGGAATAAAAAAAAAACGCAGGGAGAAGGGAGAGGGAGAGGGAGGAGGGGGGCTGGATGCGGGCGCACACGGAGCTTACATGTCACAAAAAAAGCTGAGACAAATGAGGTACAACAATAAACACAGATAACAATTACAAAGGCAAACAGTGGCTTTTGGGAACGGGAACCTGGGCTACATAAACAAAGTCGGCAAATGTTCGCAAGATAAACTCCTGCCTAAATCGAGTGTGACGGGGAGGAGAGAAGAGAGGAGGAGAGATAAGGCTGGAGAGGGGAATAAACGGGAATAATCGAACACGAGGCGTTTGAAAAAACAAACTTGAGACAAGGATGCGGCGAGCGGGGCTCGGCTGTACGGCGGGGAGAGAAGGGATGTCGGGGAGATGTTTGAGATCCGGGGCTCGGCGGGGGTTGGGGGTTTTTCCTTCTTTCCCCCCTTTTTTGGGGGGAGAAGAAAAGGATCCATCCTGGAGAGGGGGAACGGGGAGGGAATCTCGGGGTCAGAGGCAGGTGGGGAGCCCCGGCCGGGAGAGGAAACGCGTCGGA